GGTTTAAATACAGGGCAAGAGGTGTGGACAATCAAGCAGTCCTTCTCAAGATGTGGTCTAGCCCATTGTTGATCCATCATCTCAGGTCTGGTCTGATTAGTTTATCAGTTGTTATCCTTTCACCAGGGATACAAATCTGGTTCTTACAAAATGATTGTTTCTGTCCTACGGTTCAGTCCCACCCTCATCTAACAGGATTGTTTGTTCTGTGAGGTTTGCTCTTCCAGGAACCCAAGTGGACTGAAGGTTTTAAACAATGGCTTCTATCTGAGTCATCAGCCTTGAAGGGAGATGAGATAGGTTAGGTATGCAGTTAAGTAGGAGTCTGAGCCAAAGCAAAGACAGCAGACACAGAGCGAAGGTCGTGGAAGTACTAGGCACTCTTCTTTAGCTGCCTTCAGCGTCCAGGGGAGGAATAGATGCTTCTTAACAACAGCAACCAAGAGCTCACTTCAGTTCCCCACTTTGTGTTTGAACATTCCTCAACTTTGAAGTAACTAGGGCATTGGTCAATCTGATCTACAGGTTTCCTATCCTGGAGAAAAGTACTATATGTTAAAAAGGCAAGCTGTCATGGCTGAGACATGAAAATGGTTGAAGTATGAAAATAGGTGCACCGCTATGAAGCCAAATGACGATACCTTGTAGGGCTTGGAGTGTCTCTGGGACCTTCCTGCTCAACAACTCATTGCCTTATCTCATACACAACACTCATATTTTTCCTTAATAACCTGTGATGTCTGAGAGCAGTGGTATCCTAGAAGCCACCAGGATATTCCACTTCTGTTGAAATAGGAGCGGTGGGGCTGAGTCCCCAGCACCACAGCCGCCTGCTAGCTTATGCCCGAAATAACAACACACAAACTGTATTCATTTAAAGACTGCTTGGCCCATTTCTATCTAGCCTCTTCTAGGCTAATTCTCACATATTAATTTAGCCCATTTCTAATTATGTGTGTAAGCACCCCAAGGTGCGCTTACCGGGAAGATTCTAGCCTACGTCCATCCTGGGTCGGAGCTGCCTGGGAGAGCAGAGCTGTCGAGTCTCTCTGGGAGCAGAGCAGAGTCTGAGCTCACTTCCTCTTCCTCCCAGCATCCTATTCTGTTTACTCCTCCCACCTATGCTTTTTTTTTAAATATTTATTTATTATGTATACAATATTCTGTCTGTGTGTATGCCTACAGGCCAGAAGAGGTCACCAGACCTCATTACAGATGGTTGTGAGCCACCATGTGGTTGCTGGGAATTGAACTCAGGACCTTTGGGAGAACAGACAATGCTCTTAACCTCTGAGCCATCTCTCCAGCCCAGTCCCACCTATGTTTTAACCTATCAGGGCCAAGGAGTTTCTTTATTGCTTAACCAATGAAATCAACAGATTGATATATGACACTCCCACATCACACTTCAAAATACTTTTTAAAATTTAATTTAATTTGTAGAATAAGTTTCCACATGACTTTTTCATCCTTTCTTTTGGTTAGCACTGCCCACCTTGTCTCCCTCATCCACTAGCCCCTCTACCTTAAATCTTTCCAAAATGTGGTCTAAATGAGAATTGTTTATGTGGGATTCCCCTCTGCATGTTGTGAATATCATTGGTTAATAAAGAATCTGTCTGAGGCCTGGCAGGACAGAATAGAGGTAGATGGGGAAAACTAAACTGAATGCTGGGAGAAAGAAGGCGGAGTCAGGGAGAAACCAAGGAGCCACACTGGAACCTTGCCAGTAGGCCACGAGCCTCGTGATAATATAAAATAATACAAATGGGTTAATTTAAGAAATAAGAGTGAGCTAGAAATATGCATAAGCTAATAGGCCAAGCTTCTGTGTGGTTATTTCAGGGCTGAGCAGCTGGGAACAAACAAGTGGCCTCCTACGGCAAATCTTCTACCCAGGCTCATATGTTTGAATATTGGACCCAGTTGGTAGAACTATTTGGAAAGTATGAAGAGGCCTGGCCTTATTGGAGGAGGTATGTTAGCAGTGGACTTTGGGGTTTCTCAGTGTCCCTCTCTTCCTCCTACTTGTGGATTAAGATGTGAGCTCTCAGCTGTCCCCGCTACCATGCCTTTGCTCTGCCAGCATGGACTCTAACCCTCTGAAACTATAAGTTATATGTTTCCTTGGTCATGGTGTTTTATCATAGCATATCATAGCTGAAACACACCCCAGTATCCCTCATATCTATTTTCATATCATATATGTTCTAATATCCCCTTCTATTTAGGCCTATGAGCCCTTTATAGCTTTCTTGGCTCTCTTAATGCTACAGACTAATTAACCAAATATGAAATTTTGAATCTGGGGTCTACATACAAAAGAGAACATATGGTGTTTGTCTTTCTGGGCCTGAGCTACTGGCTCAATATATTTTCACAGTTACATCCATTTATCAGCAAATTTTATTTCAGTTTTAGAAGTGTGTGTGTGTGTGTGTTTTTGTTGTAGAAGGAGTGGCGGGCTGTGTCCTGCCACCCAGCTTGCTTAACCCCAGAAATAACCACATGGAAACTGTATTAATTAAATTACTGCTTGGGCCCTAAGCTCTAGCCTCTTATTGGCTAACTCTCACATATTAGTTTAACCCATTTCCATTAATGTGTATCGCCACTTGACTGTGGATTACTGACATGAGTCTAACCAGCGTCTGTCTCGGGCAGGTAAACCATGGCATCTGTCATACTGCCCTTCTTCCCAGCATTCTGTTCTGTCTACTCCGCCTACCTAAGTCTGCCCTATCAAAAGGCCAAGGTAATTTCTTTATTCAATCAATGAAAGCAATACAAATACAGAAGGGCTTCCTAAACCATATTTTATACAGGGTCAGATATTACAACCTCATTTTATTGTCGTAGACGTAGAGTTCTCCTTTTTCCAGCACCATTTCTTAAAAAGGCTTTCTTTTTCCATGCGTATTTTTGTCAATGTTGCCAAAGACGGGGTGGCTGCTACTGCATGAGCTTACATCTGGATCTTCTATTTGATTCCATTAGTCTGCATATCTCTTTCTGTGCCAGTACAATGTTGTTTCTATTACTATGGCTTTTTAATATAATTTGAAATCAAGAACGGTGAACCCTGCAGCAGTGTTTTTAATTGTTTAGGATTTCTTTGCCCCTCTGGGGGTCTTTTGTGCTTTCATAAGAATTCAAAGATTTTTCTTTCTTTCTGTGAAGAACTATCTTCAATGGATCTGTGAGTTGCTCTTCGTAGATAGACATTTTCAAACATTAATTTCAACCCATGAGTGTGGAAGTCTTCCTATTTATGAATGTTTTCCTCGACTTCCTTCTTTGGTATGTTAAACGTTTACATTGTAGAGAATTTCTACTGCTTTGGTAAGGCTCATTACAAGGTACCTTATCTTTGTGGCTATTTTGACTGGACTTGTCTCCTTGATTTCCTTCTCAGTTGTTTCTCGTTGGTATGTAGGAAGGCCACTTTGTTCTCCGTGTTAATTTTGCATTTTGCTACTTTGCTGACTTTGCTGAAAGCATTCATCATCTCAGGTCAGGTAAGGCACAAGAATTTCCATTTTCCTGTATTTGTTATGAATTGCTTTGGGTCAAAAACCAGAATCTATTTTAGAGAAAGTTCATTGACTCCTGAGAAACCGTATGTTCTGCGGTGTTTGGAGGCAATGTTCTCAGACTCTGCTACGTTCTTTTGAGCTATGGTGTCAATTAACTCTAATATTTCAGCTGTTTGATTTCTTTTCGAATCCATTCAGGCATTTATTAATTTCTTTAAATGTGTTTATCATCATTTTTTTGAATTCTTTTGTCTGGAATTATGGCTTAGTCATCCTCGTTAGGGCCATTTACTCCAGGGTTGGTAGATTTTAGGGGAGATACGTTTTGGATTTCATCTGACTTGTGCTTTTACTTTGAGATTTGTATATCAGAGGTCATATCATACTGAGTTGTAAGTGTTGCTAGGTCACCTTTCTTCTTTCAGTTGGGTGTTTGCAATGTCCAGTGGGACTAGCATGTAGTATGACTGCGGTGGTTTTGTCCTCTGTGAGAGTAGTGTTCAGGACACCTGGCTCCATCCCTAGCTCTCCCCTGCATTAGTACTCATGTGCAGATCCTCAGAAAATAAGTAACAATCAATTATACAATAATATCCTTTTAAGTGGTGTAGTGGTTTGAATAAAAAGGCCCCTGCAGACCCATGTGGCACTATTAGATGTGGCCTGGTTGGGAAAAGTGGGTCATGAGGGGATGCAAGGGGGTTTCAGAATCTCGAGCCAGGCCCAGCGGCTCACTGTCTCTTCCTGCTGCCTGCAGATCTGGATGTAGAACTCTCAGCTCCTTCTCCAGCACTGTGTCTGCCTGCCTGCTGCTATGTTTCACCATGATAATAGTGGACTAAACCTCTATCCTCACTAAATGTTTTCCTTTATAAGAGTTGCTGAAGTCATGGTGTCTCTTCACAGCAATAGAACCCTGACTAAGACAAGTAATCATTTTACATAGTACAGGGGCATTGACGGTACTCAGTGGGTACTGATACAAGAGTTAATGAAGGTATAAATGTAAAGAAAAAGGAGGGGGAAGGAAGAAAGAAACCACAGCATGAGGGGTGATTGGTAATAGACAGATAAACAGAACATAGCAGAGGGGAATGTAGACAAGACGGGGAACTCCAGGGGCCAGAGCTAGCATGTGTGTGGGGGAGGGATACGGGAATTTTGGCTGAAAGTAGGCTGAAGAGAAAGAGTTAAGATATGCTATCAGATAACAGGAAAGTCCCCAGTGTCCGTGTGGAGGCTGGGGTACAAGGACCCCTGCAAAACAGGCTACGCACACTACGCTACTTGAAAACAAAAAGGCCAGAGGAAGCTGAAGGGAAAGGGGAGGAAACATGGAAAGTAGCTTGAAGAACACAGCGTGGTTAAGGAGGCCTGCTAAAAAGACTTGTACATTGAACACAGATGACACATATGTAGAGGGAGGGAGAAGTGGGTAGATATAGGACATGAAAACTGACTGACCCAATCGTTGGCTCTCATCTGGATTCCCTCGCGTTCCTTCCCTGGTGTTGGGAGGTCTTCTGTGATGGGCAATCCCCTTCTGTCCTGAGTGGGTTTTCAGGTGACGAGACCATTTGCATTGCTTCACAGGTGGAGCTCTGGTCTAGTTACACCCCTGCGAATTCCTTCTGGTCTCCAGCTGAGACCAGCTCTGCCCCTGTGCTTCTCTGGCTAACGTCCTACAGATTGCTTGACATTGGTGTGAAGGTTACTACCGGTAACTGCTTCTCGCTAGATGTTCAGCCCACTGCATACTGTTCAAATCTGTCCCGTGGGTTCCTTTCCACTGTCTCCCCATGTTTTGTTTGTCAGGTGTCAGTGTATAGTGCCTCCCAACTTGGTCTGAGTTTCCTAGGTATGTGATCTTGGGGTGTTGAACTACAGTGGGAGCTTACCAAGGGGTAGAACCTGTAAAATCCTACCTGCACATCTCAGCTTCACTGAAGTGAAGGGGGAGGACAAGAAAAATTCCAAGTCCTAGAAGCTGGGTGGGACAGTTCCACCTGTTTTCTCTGTCTGGGGGCAACTTGTGCAAACAGCTGACAGACAAGAAGACATCTCTTCTTCTGGTTCTGTAAATGGAGTTTTTAGGTAAAATGTCTAGATTTGGGCTACGCTCGGCCTCTCCATCCCATCTCCAATATGTCAATTAAAGAGACAAGTTTTTAAAGTATGTCCTTATGATTCTCTGGGTTTCCTCAGTGTCTGTTCTTATTAAATGAAACTCAGTTTCATTTCTGGTTTTATTAATTTGGATTATTCTCTCTCCGCCTTTTATTTAGTCTGGATAAGGATTTGTCTATCATTGATTTTTCTCAAAGAACCAACTCTTCATTTCATTGATTCTTTAAATTGTTCTCTTTACTAATTTTAACACTCTGTCTGTTTATTTCCTGTTGTCTGCTCCTCTTGGGTGTGCTTGCTTCTTTTCGTTCTAGAGTTTTCAGGTGTGCTGTTCAGTTCCTGGTAAAAGGTCTCTCCGGTTTCTTTATGAAGGTGCTTAGCGCTCTGAACTTTCCTCAGCCCTGCCCTCACTATGCCCCATAACTTTGGGGAATAGAGTCAGAGACCCACTCATCCAAACAATCACAGAGTCCACAAAAGTACCAAGCTCAAAGCAACACTATGCACACAGATGACCTGGTGCAGACCCGTGTAGGCCCCGTGCTCGCTGCTTTAGTCTTCATGTGCTCACGTGTGCTCACGTGTGCCTTGATCAGTTAATCCAGTGGAACATGCTTTCCTGGTGTTGTCTATGGCCTGTGGCTCTTACAGTCTTTCTGTCTCCTTTTCTGTGGGGTTCCTTGAGCTCTGAGGGGAGGAATTTGATGGAAAAAGCAAGAGATATGCATTGTTAAATAGTCCTGATCAAGAAGTGGTCCTGCTCATCATCGGCTCCCCTGTTATGATAAATTTAGTGGCCGTCTAGTGACTGTTATCACTGGAGTGAGTCAGGGTTATTCCCACAAGATAATGACTTCTGTTTCTTTTCTGAGGGCAACCTTGCCCCCATTCCCTTATCTGAGAGACCAAGGTTGTCTGTCTGCTGAGATTTATTCTTCCTGGAATCCAAGGTGACTGAAGGGTTTGATCAACTTAGTTATGTGTCTTCAGCCTTGAAGCAAGATGAGGTAAGTTAGGTTTGCAGAGCAAAGTAGGACTCTGAGCCAAAGCAAAAACAGCAGACACAGGATGAAGCCCAGAGCCAGGCTCTCATCCTGCTTTAGTTGCCTAAGGCCAAAGTGAGGAGACAATAGTTTTCAGCAAAAGCAGCTTCTAACTGTGATATTAAACGGTATTCAGTGGTATTAAGAAGTCATGAAATTATACTTTATATAAAATAATAGTAATAATATGTTAGCAAGTGGAGAATAGCACTTGGGAGGAGGAAGCAGCAGATCATGGGGTTTAGTCAGCCTAAGCAACAAGTGAGGTCCTGTCTCCTAACAAGGAAGCAGGCAAACAAACAAAACTTCATGTTTAAAGTAAGACCACGTTATTTTGGTATGGAAAATACCAAATGCTGTGGAATAATCTTCTTGTATGCTGTAAAGATCTGTCACTTGAATTGGTTCAATAAAACGCTCATTGGCCAGTAGCCAGGAAGTATAGGTAGGGTGACCAAACTAAGGATGCTGGGAGGAAGAAGTGCAGAGTCAGAGGGGTCACCAGCCAGATGCAGAGGGAACAAGAGATGAACATCCCATGCTAATAAAGGTATTTCCATGTGCAGAGAGTAAATAAGGAATATGGGTTAGATTAAGTGTAAGAGTTAGCTAGTAATAAGTCTGAGTTATCAGGCAAGCATTTATACTTACTATAAGCCTCTATGTGGTAATTTGGGAAGTGGCTGCCGGGTATTTGGGACCAGGTGGTTGAGACAAGAAATATACATTTACAGCACTAAATGCTTGTTAAGACACTTTAAAATCTCATTTTGGTCCTTACAGCATCTTTCTGTTGGGATCAAGGTATTATCTCCATTTTTCAGATAAAAGTAAGGCTTAGAGATTTTGTATGATTTAGTCAAAGTCACAGAAGTTAAAAGTAGCAAACCCAGGTCTAAAATCTTGTTTATTTTGTAGTCTGCCTGTGTTGGCTAGTTTTATATCAATATGGCACAAGTCAGAGTTATTTGGGAATAATCTGGGTCTGGGGTCATCAAGAGATCTGATCATGAATAAATTTTTAACAAAGAAGAAGCTTTACTCAGATACTTCCACCAGGTGCTCATGCTGCCAAGACTGCACCTGAAAGTTCTCCCAAGATAGAAGTCCAAGTTACATTAGTCAGGGGTTTATAAAGGCAAAACTTACAAGGCTTATAGTCCCTGCCTACCTATAATCAGGCACACATCCTGCCTATGTGTAGTTGGGGGCAAGCAAGCTTGTTTACAGAAGTGAAAACCCACAGTTGGTTTGTTATCTTACATGAACAAGACCAGGCAATTATAAGAACAGCCCCTAGCATTCTGGAGAGTTATCTGTCCTTGTTCAAGTGGGGTTTACAGATTAGAGACATTTTTGTTTTATAGTTCTCTAAAGCATGGTAATTTAATGTCCACCATCACAGGAAAAGGGAACCTCAAATAAGGAAATGCTTCCACCAGATTGATCTGTGGTGCCTCTGTGGGCAGTGTCATCCCTGGGCAGGTGGTCCTGACTGCTGCAAGAAAGGATCAGGTTGAGCAAGCATGGGGTGCAAGCCAGAAAGCAGCCCTCTTCTGCGGCCTCTGCATCAGTTCCTGTGCCCAGGCTCCTGCCCTGATTGAGTTCCTGCCCCAACTCCTTTTCATGATGGAATAGGATATGGAAACTGAAATAATTCCTTTCATTTCGAGTTTCTAATTTGGCAGGGCAAGACAGTGCAGAGGCTACTCTGTCTTGAATTCTTGCTGAGGTCATTTTAGGTTTAACTAAAAGTTGGTCTCCTGGATGGAGAATCCTATGGAAAATTATCCAGCTCTATTCTAGGAACTCAACATCAATACGCCTCAGCTAACTTAGCTTCTGTTAAACTACTCATTCACGCAGAATCCCTGCTCATCCATCTCAGCTGCATATCTTGACTTCTGTTAAACTACTTATATGAAGGCCCCCGGAAACTGCTAAGCAAATTGCCAGGATGTGTTTTTGCTTTCAAAAACCCTGTGCTCTGTACACTTGGTGCTATACTTAGGTACCAAATACCTTAGGGTATTCCCAGCTGACTGGAATAAAGATAATCAATTGGCTATTAACTCTATCTAGTGATTTTCTCTGGTGGACTCCCTGTAACATTTTGGAGGTCCCAGCAAGACATACCTAGACCAGGCCCTAACACTTAGGAGCCAAGAAGAGTACTCCAGCAGGAGAGGACTCCTGGGGACAGGGTGCTTACCCTGAGAGGTTCCAGGGATCTGGGAAAACCCTCTCTGACCCATCACTGCCCAGAGCTTTGCAGGCACTCTGATGCCATAACTCTAAAAGACAAATAGAAAGTCATCTTCTGACCACACCCGGAGGTAAGTTTGGTCAGTAGAAGGAGACATATGATTAACACACAAGAGGTGAGGTCAGATGTGGCCATAGATCTGTGTGTCCACAATCCATGTGAAGTGCCACCAGTCTCCCATAGTCTGTTAAGGTATACAAATGCATGGTGCCCAACCCCGGTTGTCCTTACTATGTGCCTCCCTGTATATTTCATTCTATTTACTATACCTCTTTCAGTGTGTCTCTCTGCCTATTTCTGTAGTCCTGTGAGTTGGAGAAACAGACTTAAAATGGAAGGGGGTGTGAGTTGTCCTAAGACGGAAGTCACCACTGCCTCTAAGATGGTGCATGATTTCCTGCAGGCTCATGGTCATGCTGAGCCTCCCATGCATGCTAGGGCATCCCACTTGGGTGTGGCTGGGCACAGAAACTGGCTGCTGCTCTTGCTATGATGATTGTAGGGAAAGAGGCCAATGGAAAATCACCCTTCCCCTGGCAGGCCCCAGAGCTTGAGGCTTGGAAATCCCTGCCTCTGTGACTCAGCATAAATGGCCAACAATGTTTCAGAGCTAAAGTCTAACAGCCAAGCAATATGTCCAGCAACACTGTACTTTTCCACTAGCTCACTGTGGATAAAAACTTTACACTAACTTAGGTAGGCTCTCTTGGTGTCTGTGCTCTTTCTTGGGTGTGAGCTGCACCATGATTGTGGTGGCTTGAAAGAATGCTCCCAAAGGGTGTGTGTTGTAGGAGGCTGCTTTCATTTCCTGACTGCCTGGCAGGTCAGACCCAAAATAATCACACAGAAACTATATTATTTAAAACACTGCTTGGCCAATGACTCTACTGGATTTCTAGCAAGCTCTTACACATTAAATTAACCCATTTCTATTGTTTTGTATTTTACCATGAGGCTTGTGGCCTCCTGGCAAGGTTCTGACTGGCAGTTTGCATCTTTCTGGCATCTCCATGGCATCTCTTTGACTCCACCTTCTTTCTCCCAGCATTCAGTACCCGCCTAGCTCTGTTCTACCCTATCACAGGCTAAGAAAGCTTCTTTATTCATTAACCAATAAAAGCAACACATAGATAAGACTTCCTACACCATTTCCCCTTTTCTGTTTAAATAAAAAAGGGAGGTTTTAATATAGTAAAATTATATATAACAAAACAGGTATTAAGCAACAGTTACAGTTGCAACATTTATATCTATCTACTTTATCTTTTATCGTAACTAAGGAAAACTATATCTGTTTTTCAACTCCATCAAAGACTCCAGAGGGATATAATATTACCTAAGTAAACAGGAAGTGCATTGTAAGCAACTTTTAAATCTCTAGAATTGACAGAGACATCTCACCGCCTCGACACTCACCCAAAGGTCTTCTGTAATGTTGGGGCATCCATCTTCAGCCTACAGGTTTAGCGTTTGGCAGACTTTTCCATGAAGCAGGCAATTTCAAAGACAGTTCCACCTATATTGGCAGTTTGTAAGTCACTTTCTCCTGTGTCCTGCAGAATGTCTGGCAGACTTTTTCGTGAAGCAGGAACCCCAAAGGATTATCTCACCTTTAAGCAAGTTCAGCAGTCATCTCTCTGTGGGTCCTGCATGTCCTAAAAATTCCATAAGTAGCCTCTTCAGTGCCCATCATCCTCTTGATGTTACTGGTTCTGCCATGAGAGATGTGTTTCATTGTCATGAAAAGTCCTAAGTTCTTAAAACATTTTAAATGTCATATTCTGAAGGTCTCTAAAAGATCTGAAGAATACTTAACTAACTAACAGGCATGACTACAAGGTTGACTATTATAGATGACTATCTATTAACCTATATTTTTAAATTATACATTATATTTTTAGATGAGCTACACAAACACAATGCCTTAATAAAGAGCAGAAATAGACACATACCAAAATTGACCTTAAATTTGTATCAATAAACCAAGATTCATACTAATGCAAAGTATTCATCTCTATATCATATTCTTCTTTAAATGTAACCAAACATTTATAAACAATATTTGGGAATTTGGGCATAATTCTCTCCAAAGTGCAGTCTTCCTGCAGAGACTGCTCATTCATTTCCTGGCTGCCCAGATCTGAATAATCACACAGAAACTGTATTAATTACAACACTGCTTGGCCAATGATTCAGACATATTTCTGGCTAACTTATATCTTAAATTAATCCTTCTCTATTATTTTGCATTTAATACGAGGTTCCTGGTTTGTTACCTCTCCCTTCTTGGGCAACTACATTGTGTCTTTCTCCTTCAGAAGCTAGGTGGCATCTGCTTCCTTCAGCAGCTACATGGTATCCCTTTGACTCCACGTACTCTATATATCTCTGTTCAGATTCCCCACCTGGCTTTACTCTTCTAATCCATTGGCTGAAACATCTTCTTTACTAATCGATGGTAATAAAATATATTCACGGCATACAGAGGGGAATCCCACATCACCTCCCCTTTATGGACCAGTCATTCCCCGAGGAAAAGTGGAAGTTCAACCCCTTCCCTGTTTGTGGTTTATGTTTCTTTCTCTACCAATGACTTGTATAATTGGAAGACTCCAAACCCTCTATTTGGAAGAATCTTCAGGCTCTTCTCAGCCTTTTGGAAACTGTTTTAAAGCAAGAAGACAGGATATTCTTCACTCCTCCCAAAAAAATCTGTTGGGAGGATTAGAAGTGGAAAGTGGGTAATTTAAGGTAAGTCAAGTAACTCAAGGACCTGATGTGTTACCTGCTGGGTTCCTGCAGAGGCTCTGTGAGACATCCTGCATATTTACCCCATAGTCTCAGATGCTCCTAAAAAACCAGAGAGGCTCTAATATTGGCTTTGTCATGCCGTCGACCCCAGGCATAAGGAGAAAGCTCCAGATATTAGAGAGTCTTGAAGGGATGAATAGGTTTCTCAACTTTTAGAAATTGTTCACAAAGTTTAAAACCACCAAGATTCAGTTGAAGACAGACACGAAAAAAAAAAAAACTTTTCCATGCAGTGATCACTGCCCTTGAGAAAATGTAGAAGAGAGGAAATAGGGGAAATAGACCAGGAGAAGGGGTTCAGGGGCTTTCCATTATCAGATGATGGGGCCCTGAGTTCAGAGATGTTGGGATTTTGACAAAAATATTGGCAAAGCACCCTGCTCCAGTGTGTAGATGGCATCCTCTTAGCTTCAACCACCGAAGAATGTGGCGATACAACAGCATGCCTTGTAGAGTCTCTTCAAGCTCTGAGGTCCAGAGTCTTAGCTAAGAAGGTTCAGTGTAGGTCAGTTTCCTAGGCTAAACCCAGAGGAAGCAAAGCAAATGCTTTCCCAGGACCGTGTTTCAGCTATCCTGCAAATCCCCGCTCATACATCAAAAATACAAGTGTGGAAATTGTCGGTGATAACCCCATAGGTTCCCTTAATTAATTCGTTAATTAATTAATTAATGACTGCATTAATGTGACTGACCTGATTCAGTCAGGTTTGATCTGGCTGACATCATTGGTGATACCAGAAGAGGTATTGTTCACAGATGGAAACAGTTTCGCTTGAGATGGGTTCAGGTACGCAGGGGCAGCTGGGATTATCCAAAATGAGACTATCTGGGCACAATCTTTAAGCAGAGAAACCTCAGCACAACCAGCTGAGTTTTTAGCTTTAACTCAAACATTCCCCACTTGGAGACAGACAAGACTATCACCACATACACTGATAACCAATATGCTTTTACCATGGCCCATTATCCATGGGGATCCATACAGGGCAAGAGGATTGCTAACCTCAGCACGAAAAGAAAGCAAAAATAGAGAAGAGACCTTAGCTCTATGGGAAGCTATCTTGTTACCTAAGAGAGTGTCCATTGCAAATGACACCCCAAAGGGAAGTCCCCAGAAACCAGAGGCAAAAAAGCCACTTGACTGCCCAGCTACAAGTCTATGGAGCCTCTCCAAGCCCAGCTTACAAATGCGCCCAGAATACAACCTGACGAGATTGACTGGGCAAAATGAGAACTAGCAAAACAGGATAAACAAGGATATCGGATGCTTCCTGGACGACAGACCCATCCTTCCTGTGACTCTGGGAAGGTGACTGATTACAGAATCCCACCAAGTCACCCACTTAGTGATACACAAAACCTTCTGAATTCCTCAGATCCGAGTATTATATCCCAAGTTGGAGAAGCCTGATGACAGTCACCACGTGTAGATTCCACCTGTGCTCAGGTAAACCCCAAAGGGGGAAGGAAGATTCTACAAGGGATTTGGGCTCCAGGAAGTGGACGTGGAAAACACGGGGAGCTGGACTTTACTGCAATCAGGCCGACTATTTTTGGCTATAAATATTTGCTGGTGTTTGTAGACACCTTCTCGAGATGATTGGAGGCCTGCCCCATCCAAAGAGACTGCCCCAATAGTTACTAAGAATATATATATA